TAGCTCAAGCCTAGTGAGGGTTTACGGCAAGCTGTTGTCGCCCTTCAATATCTCCCGTGGCCTGAGACAAGGATGCCCGCTGTCACGTATCCATTTTAACTGCGCTATTGATGAAATCATGGAAATCGCGTTCACAGGACACGACTTAGAAAGTGTGGATCCGCTCCCAGGAGAAAGACTTCTTGACTTGGAGTATGCTGATGATATTGCCCTAATCTGTGACAGCTCACAAACGTGCCAAGTGGCACTGGACAGATTAGCACTGGCTGTCCGTCACTTCGGGCTTTGCTTTGCACCATCGAAATGCAAAGCGTTCCTCCAAGATTGGTCTGGACCGCCTCGTACGCTGATCGTTGGTGGGGATCAGCTAGGAATCGTTCAGAAATTCAATTACCTGGGAAGTTGTATTAGCGCTTTTGGGATCGAAGACGAGATCAGGAACCGTATAGCGAAAACTCGAAGCGCTTTTGGTAACGTTCGCCACCTATGGCGGTGGTGCGACATCACTCTCGCCCTGAAGTGTAGAGTGTATAATGCAGCGGTACGTTCAACCCTGCTGTACAGTTGCGAAACCTGGCCCCTAAGATCGGCGGAGTTGAAGAGGCTAGTTACGTTCGACAACCGGTGCCTTCGCAGTTTGGCTCACATCTGGTGGGAACACCGCGTGAGCAACGAGCGTGTTCGACACCTTGTTTACGGCACAGGAAAAGGATTTGAACCGCTCAGCACCGTTATTTCCCGAACCAGGATCCGATGGCTCGGTCAAGTGTTACGCATGCCATCCCACCGACTCCCTCGACGTGCGTTGTTTGCGCGCGGCGCGTGGATGGAAGATGAGGAGGGGTGGCCGAGCGATGACTTGGTCTAGAGGAATGAAGGCCCTCACTTCGGAACTGGCCTCGGCTCCCTGGTTGGGGTCCGTAAGACGATGAACACGTTTGCCTGGATACGCTTGTAGATAAGGCTAGGAGTGGACCTCAATGGCGTTCGTGCTGTGAGTTTCTTTGTCCCTCCGCATTCCATTTAGCCTCCCCATCCAACTACGATGTCATTATTTAGCACTTTTTAATTTCGCACATTGAATTATACTTTTTCTGCTGCATATAATCCGGCAGGGAGCTTACCGGAACGAGGCCCATCCGTTACCGGCAGCTCAGCTTGCTTGCACCTGTTGCATTGTATACCCTTTTTTCTTTTAAGTATTGCGGCACAGTAGCTGAGGTGTTTGCCACCTTTAGCTAACGTGTTTAGTGTGTGTTGCTTGAATACTCTAACGTTTCGTTCAGCAATGCACGTACGTGACCTGTAGGCCATAGAAAAGGTTCAACGCGCCTTCATTAAACGCACCTTTGTTACTCCACACTGGTTCTTTGTAAAGACAAATACAGGGAATTAAAACTCGTCATTATGGCTGCGTAGCTTACATATAACTCTTGGTTTTCTTCACAAAGTCGTGTCGCATAACGTGCACATTGAACATCGCTATATGTAATTTCGGTTGGAAACCTGATATGAAATACGCGACACCGAATCTATGATCGTAGTACCTCCATTCAAGACCACAGTGAGATAGAATGTTTACCCTATAAGGTTCAGCCTGATTTGGAATAAACTACCCAGTTGTATACGATATACAAAAGCCCGAGCGTATTCAACAAAAGGAGTAAGATTTTCTTGAAACCAGTAACAGTGAAACAGATTTTAAGTTTGCAAATTAACGACGGTAGAATGTTTGAGAAAAGGACCGGGTCATATTTGAAACAAATAAATCACGGTAGCCATTTGTCGAAGATGATTAGTCTATCTCTGTGATTTATTATTTCCAATATCACTCGAAGACTGCTTGGTTTTAAGTTTCTATACTCATCCGCACATCTATTATTTTTTTAGGTATCCATTGAGCGAACGATAACGGATATCTTCTCTGTGATCGTCTTTCAATCCTGATGGTTTCAATTGTTTGCCTTGTGGGATTAAGCAATGACAATTGTAGTTGAATTACCGTTACTGCTCTGTACTCTTTACAAAACCTTGGCCGGAATGCAACAACTCATTTCTCTAAATTGCTGTACCATCATCGTTATTCATCAAAACTTTCAATTAAGTTGTGATTAGCCTATCTGCAAAAGGGAGTTACTAGTATTATGCTGTTTAATTCCTCATACTTCATATTCTTCCTTCTTTCGTTGTTAGCCACAAGTGGACTGATCTCTTGACGTGACGGATTACAGCTTCCAAGCTAAAAATAACTATACCCATGGCATTGACTCATTGACATAGGGAAAAAGTGCCATACTTGAATGATCCGCATGACGGAACGGGCTTAGGCTTCATCACATATAGTGCATGCATAAAACAGCCCTTAATAAAAAAGTTGTTTTACAAGTGATGAGTTACACGTTATTTCGCCACACAGGCACACAGACAGTTGGATCATGGAACTGCAGGGAAAACTCGTCGATGGAATAACGCGCAAAGAAGCAGGTCTCTTGGGGACGGTTCCATGATGGCCGTGTTATTTCACGAATTTTTGGCTAAATCTGTTATTTTAATATTACTCGTGAGTAGCAGGAGTTTAGTTGTAATTTTAAGGTATTCGTACCAGTAGTTCACAAGCTACATTGCACAGCCTAGTCCGGAAACGAACCAGACGCGTTTCGCCCCATTGGGGCTCGTCAGTGTGGCGCATTCCATCGGTCCCCTATTAGGAATCGAAGCCATTGCCGCTAGAGGCAGATGCCAACTAGCCAACAGGTTAAGCCACTGAGCCATGAGAGACGTTGGCTGGGCTACATAATGACGATGACGTGCGCAGGCGAGATCAATCAGAACAGTTCCCTGAAACACATGGCGTTGCGTTGGCTTGGGCACGCTCACCACTTACCCACGAGGATCTTGTTTTGTTTGCTTGATGTAGGGATGAGCAAGCTCGAGGTGGCAAAAGTTGACTAGGCAGTGGGACATGAGGTCACTGGAGACTAAACTGGGTGCCATTGGCTTCTTTTATCCTCCAAGTTGGAGTCCACTTAGCTCGCCTGATGTCTGCCTGGAAACATTACATGACGTAACCCGCACCCGACACCAATGGCCAGTTTAAATTGTACCCGATGCTGAGGCGTGTGCTGGGGAATGGCTGATTAAAAGGTGCGACAGTGAAAACCACAAGAAGTCGGTTTCATAGATGCCGCCTACTTTCGCACGATAGCCACCTACATTTGACAGTGTATTGTGGACAAGTTGTAGGTCCCTTGACCCCACATTTTCGCTTGGTGCGCTTAGATTCTAAACTAGATTCATTTTCTTCCACCCGTATTATTAATGACTTTCTAAGTGAGTATGTTTGCACGGCAGTGAAGCATCAGTTGAAATGGCTGATGTACTGGTGTTAGTGATGAATGTTGCAACCAAACTTTTGAAATCATGTTTGAGAAGAGCACGGGTTTACAAAGAACAGTGTCCGAATGTGCTCGCATACAAAGTCGCATAAATTGGCTCCGCGAAACACCAGAAATGTCGTGGTAAAGTGAAATCAAAGAGTTAAAAACAACTACACAGGAAAACAAGCTTTGCTTGAAGAAAAAGACATCACTAGAAAGTTCGCTTGGTAGTATATACACTATAACTTACATGACACCGTCAAACAATAGCGTCTAGAAGGAAGACTGATTGTAAAAGTGCAAGTCTACAATCACATCTATGCGGCCACTGCAAGGTTATTTTGGGTTGAAGAAAGTTCGATATGCAGTAGCTTTGTTACGGAGTACTGGGTACTATTGTGAACCTGAGAACAACAGAGATGAACATCTCAAGGTATAAACTGCAGTTTTTTAACTAATAACCATATGCAGACACGAAGTAGGGACAGCTCAGGTGGAAAAACCATGCAACACAAACGGTCAGTGCGATCGAAATTGAAACTCTTTTGCACGGCGGTGAGGCCACAGAAAGTACGAACTAGCGAGGACACAGTGAAAGCAAGCGATGCTTGCGTAATAGTCAGTAGTTGACGAGAGGAGCTCCTGTTACTTGAATACGGAGCATGGAATGTAAAAGAGTACTAAAAGGTTGCCGACGCGGCTTGCTTCACACGCAGCACTACAGGAACGGAAGTGGTGGGTAAGGTACCCTTTTCCGTTACAACCGCAGTGACCAATTCCGGAGGTAACACATCGTACGTAAGATGGAGCAGATGAAGCTTCGGGTTAGTTCTCCATTCGCTCAAATCAGGAACTGAATCATCAAGAGAAGCATTGCGTACGGATGAACACTCAACGAGACCGCAGTTGGGGTCAGCAGATGTCCCACGAGGACCACGCCAAAGATCGTCTGGGTCGCCGAGTTCGTTGTACTCAAATGCGTCAGAATGGGCTTGTTCCCAAAATTTATACGTTTCCGCACAAACTAGAGTGGGAGCGTGAGCGACAGCCGATACGATGTTTGCCATCATAGCCGTGCCGATGCAAGCCAACACGTATCCGTTGTTCAACAGCGCGTGACAGCCCACAACAGCGAGGGAAACCTGAGGAAGGTAACGTAAAGGATAATGCACTGGAAATGCGTTGCTTCTTGGAACTGTAAAATAAACAGCGAAAGTAGTAATGCAAAAAGAATACGAAAGGTGAGACTGTAATGCAAACGTGCTACGCCACTGAGAAGCGTAAGATTGGTGACTGGAGAGGTGTCATCAAATGTGGCAAAACCAGGATAGAAGCAGATGACTGATTAAAAAGGAACATCTGGATAATGACAAGTGTTGAGAAACACAATGGTAACAGGCTGTATCTAGGAAACGTCGGATTGCCAAACAACCTCCAGTGTCAGCTGGGTGGTTCGAAATTATCCAGTTAATGCCAACGTTTAGGCGGCAGTGTTCCAGGATGTGATGGGTTTTCGCGAGGAAAGCGTTCGTCCCATAAAAAGCTACATATTTCCGTTTAACAACACCGTGGTGTGAAAGATGTGACTGGCCAACAAATAAAAGTCACTACCCCTTGCCTCACACGGATGGAGCATCGTATCCCAGTATCCTCTGGGTGACATAATGGACAAGACCGGACCCTTGTTTGGTAACCGAAAAAAATGAAAAGAGTATGATTTGAAAAACCGTTATCCGGCGCCAAATGAGCGCGATTTCTAGACTTCGCTTCACTGCATTGCGGTTAGGCGATTCAGCCAAAGCCCCGGAGTCGTGTCCCTTAAGTTAACTCCTTAATTCAGCATGGGAAACCAGGATGCTGAGTTGTGTTCGGTTTTAAATTATGATGACTGTACTTTTCACGGTTCTTAATCATGTTTTGTAGTAGCTGTTTTATCTATCTCTCTCCTTCTCAATATATAAATTGGCGGCATCTGTTTCCGGACTCGCCTGTCACTGTGATCAGCCACAGGACGCCTGCGTCTACAGAGGGACCATGGATGGCTTGCGCTGCACCACCCACCCCATATCCAGTGTAAAACCGAAGGAATAAGACCGGGAGGGATGTGAATGGACGCCAGGTTTCATCAACGGAGCCGGCCCACTCTCCTTCACAGGCAAACACAAGCACGCCGTATTTAGGGAATCAAGCGCACAAAAGGCGGTGGCTGGACCGTAGTCCGCTCCACACTGACTGCATGGAACCACTCTTCGAGCCTAGCAGGACCAGCAAGGACAGCCTCCTAGAGCCAGTAGGGACGAGGTAGTGGGTAATAGACAGGTAGGTACCTTGTCAACATGCACATCAAGCGCAGCCACACCTGGGATGTCAAACAACAGCCAATCGTTCGAAATGCCAATATCATATAAAAGATATCGAATAAAGTACACCTATATGAAGACATAAATACTCGCTAAATACGCATATGGAGTAAATTAGTTACAAGCGAATATGCGAAAAGTATAAAATGTCCGAAAGTTATTTAAAAATTCAGGTGATTAAGTGACGAAAGGTCAAAATAATTAGCATGAGCCACGTGTGCAAATTAGGAAAAGGTTATCAAGTACGCAGAAAAATCTATCATCATACACGCCAGCTAAAGGTGGGAAACATCTCAGCTACTGTGCCGTAATACATAGAAAAAAGGAGAAAAAGAAAATCAACTAGTGCAAGCCGGCTGATCTACCGGTGGCGGATGGGCCTCGTTCAGGTAACCTCCCTGCCAGATAATACGAAGCAGGAAAAATATAATTTAATGTCCGAAACTATAAAATGCTAAATAATGAAATCGCAGTTGGATGGGGGAACAAATGGAATGGGGAGGGACAAAGGAACTCACAGTGCGAACGCCATTGAAATCTGCTCCTAGCCTTATCAACAACTGTATCCAGCCAAACGTGTTCACCGTCTTTCGGACCCCAACCAGGGAGCCCAGACGCTCCAACCGAGGCTAGCTCCGAAATGAGGGCCTTCATTCCTCTCGACCAAGTCATCGCTTGGTCACCCTTCCTCTTCTTCCATCCACACTCCGGCGCGCAAACAAGCACGTCGCGGGAGTCGGTGGGCTGGCATGCGTAACACTTGACCGAGCCATCGGAGCCTGGTGCATGAAATAACGGTGCTGAGCGGTTCATTTCCTTTTCCTGTGCCGTAAACAAGGCGTCGAACACGCTCGTTGCTCACGCGGTGTTCCCACCAGATGTGAGCTAAATTGCAAAGGCACCGATGGTCGAACGTAACCAGCCTCTTCAGATCCGCTGTATTAAACGGACAGGATTCCCAACCATACAGTAGGGTCGAACGTACCGCTGCATTGTACACTCTACGCTTCAGGGCGAAAGTGATGTCGCGCCGGCGCCATAAGTGGCGAACGTTAGCAAAAGCGCCTCGAGCTTTTGCTATACGGTTCCTGATCTCATCTTCAATCCCATGTGCGTTGATACAACCTCCTATGTAGTAGAATTTCTGAACGATTCCTAGCTGATCCCCACCAACGATCAGCGTACGAGGCGGTCCAGACCAATCTTGGAGGAACGCTTTGCACTTCGAGGATGCGAAGCAAAGTCCGAAGTGACGGACAGCCAGTGCTAATCTGTCCAGTGCAGCTTGGCACGTCTGGGAGCTGTCACAGATTAGGGCAATATCATCAGCATACTCCAAGTCAAGAAGTCTTTCTCCTGGGAGCAGATCCACACTTTCTAAGTCGTGTCCTGTGAACGCGATTTCCATGACTTCATCAATAGCGAATTTGAAGAGGAAAGGTGACAGCGGGCATCCTTGTTTCACACCGCGGGAGATATTGAAGGGCAACGACAGCTTGCCGTAAACCCTCACTCTGCCCGAGCTACGCGCATATAATGATCGGATAATCTTTACATATTTCTCAGGTACACCTTTCCCAAAGTGCACACCTATTCACGGAATCGAATGCACCTTTGGTATCGAGGAACACGAGAACGGTGGGTCGCCAATATATGTGACGGCGCTTCAACTATTGACGCAAAGTGAATATGTGGTCAATGCAGCCACGACCTCGACGAAACCCGGCTTGCTCTTCACGAATCTGGCTTTCACAAGTGCCAGTCAGTCTGTAAAGGATGACAGGCGAGTAATTTGGAGGCGATGGAGATCAGATTGATTCCTCTATGGCTGCCGCATTTCAATCGTGAGCGTTCCTTGATAATTGGGACTATGAGGGAGCGGCTCCAGTCGGTTGGAACAGTTTCCTGCTCCCACAGTTGCACTAGTAACTCGTGTAAATCATCCACAAGAGCAGGTCCCCCGAATTTGAAGAGGGCTGGAGGTAGATCATCTGGTCCCGCGGCTTTATTTAACTTCAACAGTCCGATCTCACGTTTGACTTCGAAGCGAGAGGGTGGATCCAAAGGGACAGACCAGGAAGCCGGACGATCAGTGGCCGGCGAGAAATCTAACAATTCCTACCGACTAAATTGCTTTTCAAAGTGCTCAGCCTAACGCTCCAAGCGTTTTGACAGGTTGTGGATAGGCTGTCCATTCTCGTCACAAATTGTTTCACTAACACCAGGTCTCCTGCTGTCGGATTCCCGTATCTGCCGGAATAACTTATGATGGTTACCAAGGGCAGCGACCATTTCAATCTCTGTCGCACAATCAGACCACCAAGATACGCGGTATGTCTTCAAGTTAGCCCTGAGTTTTGCCCAGAGCTCTTTGCGAGTTTCATTGTGTTCGCTTCCAGCCGGGATATGCCGGCGAGCATCGATAAGTTCCGGAGACTGCGAAGAGACCCAATGTCCATGTTGACGATTAGATCTAGCACCTGAGGATTCGCCTGCTGCTACTAAGGTCTGGTGAATATGAGACCAGTGAGGTTCAATTGCATCCAGTGAGCGCTTACTCAAATCGCGTGACAGGGTACTTTGATAGGCATTCAGAACAGCTGGCTTCGCCAGTTGGCTGGTGTCAATGCGCTCACAGCGTTGTCTTGGGCGTCCGCCAAAACGCATCCGCAGGTCAGCACATACAAGTGCATGATCGGTGTCTACACATGTACTCCAAATCGAGCGACAGTTCTGGATGCAGCCTCTCCATCTGTAACTTATCGCAAGGTGATCGATTTGCGTCCATAGCTGGTTCGAGGCTGGTGGGTGCCAAGTCACCTCCCAGCGGGTGATGTGTCGGAAATTTGTGCTCGCAAGAAATAAGCCAGCACCCTCACACAAATGAAGTAACCGCTCACCGTTATCATTACGGGAGCCTACACCATGTTGGCCGCCCAGATGCAGCTCATCTGTGGATAATTTTCCCACTTGAGCGTTCAGATCGCCAGCAGGCACTACAGTGTCCGAACTTCTTCTGTGGCGAAGGAGCTCGTTCAGTTGACGATAAAAGTCGTATTTCACCGAGTCATCTATAGTTTGTCGGTGCATAGGCAGCGATAACGAATAGACACCTGTTAGTCATACACGACTTCGAAGCTTTGAACGAGCCAGCCAATCGGACCACACACAACCGGCTACTGATTGGAATCCAGTCAACCAGAGCAGCTTCAGCCCGGAGAACTCAGGGCAATGCCAACACTGGCTTGGCCGGTGCTCGAAGCTGCATCGTCACTGGATAAGCGCAATGAGAAACTGCTGCTAGTGTCACCTGAAGGGGATCGCAAAGTGAGCGTAGACTTCGAATCTTGCAGGCGGGTCTCCGATAAGCGGCAGATATCTATCAAGAGAGTCTCCAATGTTCGGGCAAGTGCTGCCTGTTGACCGATCTGAAGCAGTGCGCGAACATTGAGGTATGCCAGTTGGAAGGAGGATCGAGGGCTCCAAATGGGAGTCGATGAACTGGAATGGGCCGCTTGGTTGGACATGGGCTTGTCGGCAGGGCAGGAATGACGCTCCGCGTTCACATGTGAGTTGAAACTAAAAGACAAGCGACAAATGAAGCAAGGTGGGGGATTGCGGATAATTACGGGGTTGACAACAGGGGAGATAAAAGTGGAGCTGGAACGGGACGATAAGGGTGAAAAAGTGTAAGAGGGGAATAAGAAGACGGGAAGGTTTGAGCAGTAGCATCCAAACCCCTATCCACCCTGCTCGATGCAGAAGATAGGGCACCGTTGATTATCCTCTGCGGTGGCCAGAGCATCGAGAAACTGTTTGAAGAGAAATTCATTGTATTGCGTGGGCAGGATACTGTCACGCTGCCCAGGCCTTGACAGGAGAACGATTAGGGTTCTCAACCAAAGCCTTTGGTTCAAAAACCTGACCGCAAGGCGGCGGGTTTGGCGTTGGGCTACAAGGAGTCCGTTTTAAGGAAGAAGGAGCCACCCTCATTCCAACCCCCTACCTGGAGGCTGAGTTTGTCTGGCCTCTAACCCTTGAACAATCTGGTATGAGTGGCTCTGAAGGTGTAAAAAAGCACCACCCAGCAATTCTCAATGGTTCGCTGAGGCACACAAACCATCGCACCACGGTAAGGTCCGGCCTCATTGCGATGGATAGAACAAACCAAATAAAGGGGAATGAATGCTATCCACATTAAAAAATTGAGTTAGCCCAACTGCGGTGAATAAGCATCATGAATGCTACGTCAGTCTCAGCACGGGGCAAAAGATAACAATGATATACGTAGATACACCCAGATACATACATTCACTGTTATATAAAAGATGTCTTTTTACATTTTTTGACTACCCTTTGTTATCTTAACATGATCATGCCTGTGTAGGTGTGCCTCGCGTTAACGATAATAAAATAATTTCTTATTTATAAGTACAGTTTGGTAGAATGTAAGCATTGATGAACGTCAGAATCAAATTGTGTGTTACGCAAAATGATCGCAATCGAGCGACGTAAAACGAAAGTCGCCTGACTTTGGTGAATATTTGATTCACGTGGAGTGACCACGACAAATGGTGGCTCAGTGTAACTCTAAGATACTTCACCGACGCACATAATTTCAAACTATCACCTTCAATCCGAAGTTTTGGGACGGCCAGTAACAAGTTCCTGGTAAGGAGGCGTTTTATGAAGTGAAAAGAGAATGTCAACACTCTTGGACGCGTTCAGTGTCAGGCAGCGGGAGTTTGACGGTTGCACTAATTCGTCTAAACAACTTTGCAGCTTGGTTGAGGAGGCTGAGGTTTAATGATTTATGCCGATGATAACGTCATCTGCATATTTTAACATATTTTAACAGTTACAGAGTTAACGTAAGTAGAGAAAAAGAATGGTGACAAAATAGCCCCTTAAAGATCACCGAATGTTGCGTTAAGTGGTGAGGAGCTTTTGCCGCCAAAAATGGCGAAATGAGTACGTTTGGCAAAATAATCGTTTAGCAAGAATACCAGGGAAGGTTGAATATCAGACGTCTGTAGAACTAGTAACAACAATTTAGGGTTAATACAGCCGAAACGGTTCCTGTAGTCGAGGTAGAAGACAACACGAGAAAGGCATCAGCAGTACGCAGGTAAGCAGTAACGACGTTTCGCTGCCGCGCTACCATCACCGATCGCACGTGGGCTAAGGATAATGCGAACGTCACCCTGCCACTTCGCAGGCTCGAACCCGCCCCGTCAGATTATAAGACAAGCTTGTTAACTTTAGGCTACGGACCGGCCAGACACGTGTGGATTTGATCTTACTGTTCCGTTTTACGATGACAAATATGTCGTCCACGTATCGTATCCAGTGTTGGGCTGATGGGTGGTAGTGCGATGCGCTCCAATTTCTGCATTACGGCTTCTGAAATGCGCCCCGAAATTGGGGATCCCATGAGTGTTCCTCTCAATTGCTGGTACACCTGTCCATCAAAGCGGAAATAAGTGGACATGCAGAGGTCCAGGAGCTCCCTGAAGGAGTGTTTCACTTTGAAGGTATAAAGCATTGACCGAAACGATTGACCGCCAGCGTTAATCTATTCAACGCTGCTTGGTAGGTTTGTAAGCTGCCACAGATTAGGGTAATATGGTTGCCAGATTCAAAACCAAGAAGTCAATAACTTGGATGGAAAAAGCTCTACACCTTCCAAATCGTGTCCAGTGGAAGCAACTTGCACAGCTCCATCAGTAGTGAATCTAAACAGCAAAGGTGCTAATGGGTAACCTTGACTCCCACGCTGGAGATTTGGAGAGCGGCGGTAGTTGACAAGTCGGAGAGACTGCCGATCTTTGAGCTACATAATTTCACTGCAAAGATTTCGGTGGTTTGAGCATGTGTTTGGCATACCAGCTCAGTGTTTACCTTCCCTACTTGAAAACCCTTCGATGAACGGCATCATTACTAATCTGATGTTACTATCGTACATCAGCAATGTTCTGAAAGCAGCCGTGATCAAAAACAAACGGTCCCTGAACAACATTTGCGCGAACAGGTTGTCTCGCAAATATTGGGAAGAACCGCTCTCAGCATGATAGTGTAAAGTCGACTCAGCAGAGAGGTTGAGGTCACGTCGATGCGTGGTAAGCAAAAGCAACCCGAGCCTGAGTGATGAAAGAAGAAACCTCAAATGTTAAGCCGTTGATATCGATGAAGCTTCTGAGGTAAATTAACTTGTCTACCAGTTCCAAAGCGCAACCCGAAAGGCTAAGAGTAGGGGCAAATTTTAGCCAGTCCTGCAGAAAGACATTACACTTCGGTGGGATGAAGGTCATCCCGAGATGAGAGATACGCACACCCAACCTACACAGTATACTCCGGGCGGTGTGCGTGGAAGTGCAGAACACGGCGATGTAGTGTCTGCATGCTCCAACCCCAAAAGCCGGAAGCAGTACGTCACCGCTGGGTTCGAAATTATCCTGAACACTCTACAGAACGTCACATATAGCGAAACTGAGTAGGAAAAGTGATGATGGGCACCTCGCTCTCAAGTCATTGGTGGTAATGAAGGAGGGCGGGGGGAGTTTGTCGCACGTTTGCGATCGGCCCGCAGTTAGAGAACAAATGAGTTGAAGAATGGCAAAATATCTATTGGTACTCACCTTATCGAAAAACAAATATAGAGCGAAGCTTGGACAACTGAGTCAAGCACAGCTCATATTTCTAAGTAGACAAAGATCATTGGCTGGCCGAACATTTGACGACACCAGATTACCTTGTGGATTGCAAAGATGTGCTCTATACAGCTCCGGCCTGAGCGGAAGCCAGCATGCTCTTTGCGTATGTTCGGTTTGCAAACCAGGCAGAGAATCCCTAAAAGTATGGAGGCGAGCACTTCGGACGCGACGTAATTTAAACTAATCCACCGATGATTAGCGTAGTCTGTTCGGGCACCTTACTTGAAGACGAGCATGAAATCCGCTAGGTTCCAATCGGACGGGATCATTACAACTAGCCAAATCTCTTGGAAGAGGGACGTTAACTCCACGATGAGTGATGGATCTCCATCTCTGAAAAGATCCCGAAAGAGTTCATATTCAAAGCTCTCAATGAGTCAGCCAATCTGGTGGCACATATCCGACTATTGGTTGAGGTGTAATGTGCCAGAGATGCTTCAACCGGGGCTCATGACAATATCCATGTCGGTGAGATCTGCACCTGAAGCTACAGTATCTCCGGATAGGTGCAATGAGTATCACCCGTGTCAAGTACAGAGGATCGTAGAGTGAATAGTGAGCTCGAGATTGCAGACTGATTTCAGTTAAGCAGCAGATAGAAACTAACATAAGTGCCGCTTATTGACCGACCCGTAAAGGTGTGGAAATTGAGCACTTAAGCCCTAACGAAAAAATCTAAATAAAAACGGATGAACTGATATTTTCCGCTTGATTGGACCTAGATTTGGCGACGGGTCAGTAGCAATCTGCGACTGCATGTAAGTCGAAAGTAGAAGACAAACCACTATCAAAACGAGATGGTGAAGGTACAAGTGTTGGGGGATTAAAAAGAAGAAGGATAAAAGTTGTAAAGGACGATAGGGATGAAAAAGTGTAAGACTGGGAATAAGAAAATGGGAAGGCTCGAGCAGTAGCAAATTAACACCTATCCCCTTGCTTGATGCTGTAGATAGGGCGCCGTTGATTAATCTCTGCAATGGGCATAGCGTTAAGAAACTGTTTGAAGAACAGAACTCACTTTATGCGCCAGGGAAGGCAGGGCGCCAATGTGAGTGTATTCACAAGGGATCCCAGCTTTGGTCAGTCGAGCGAGCATGTACCTGCCCTCGAATCTGGGCGAGCTGTCAACAACCAACACACTAAAAGGCATTCGGGTACGATCCACATCGGTCTTTTGTTGTCGTGGTGGAGATGTAGACTCTGCAGAGGAGCCTGCTAACACAGCACGGGAGGAGTGGATTGCTTCCGGTCCGAACCAGGCGCGCTCCAGAACACGTGCGACGACAGAGGAGTATCCAAATGTGCATACACATTCTCCAAGGCGAATAGAAGCACTGGCCCGTTCAGCTATCTCGGCACCAGCAAGATAGATGGAGTTTTGACGAAACTCGTCGATCGCCGTAAGAAAAGTTTCGCGACTCTGTGACACAACGCAAACGGATTTGGGGAAAACTGGGGTGGGCGAGTCGGATTTACAGAATGAACATCGAAAATGTAAAGAATACGAACAGACCAAAGATGGTTTGGTGGGTTTTGGGAGCCAAGAAAATTAGTGCGTAGTATACTTAAGGCAAATTGTGAGATGTGCGAGATAATTTAATCCAATAATCTGCACGGATACTGATACTGATACTGATACTGATACTGTATTTAAGAGCAAGTAGAAAGGTTTCTGTACAACTCTATCGAATTACGAAAAATCAAAATTTACTTGTGAATTATCAGCAGTTGTGTCTGGTCCGTTAATCGTTTATCCGTGTTCGGTTAGAAATTTGTACTAGCGTCATTATTTCCGGACATACAATGTATTCTTTTGGCACAGTATGTGCATCGTTTCACAAAAGCACAGGTTTCCAAAATAATCGTCGATACGGGTTTTAAAACACTTCACAGAATCGGCCTCTATTAATCCTTCTGGTAGTGTATTCCATAAGTTTACGATTCTTCGTTCGATACAAAGCTGATGTGATACTTTGTTCATGCTGGGGACCCTGAGTTTGTAACGATGTCCTCGGGTGTTACAGGGTTCTCGCAGGTGAAATATTGGCCGTAGTATGGGGAAGTGATTCAAGTGTAGTACTCGATGGGTCATAATAAGATCAATTCTTACTCGGCGATAGGAGAGTGTGTAGAGTCCGAGCTTTTCACAACGTTTTTCATATGGAAGTTTTCGTAGACTTGGTATCATTCTAGTTGCGATATGCTGTATTTTCTCCAATTTTTCAGTTTCCCACTGGGTTATCGGAAGGTAAGCTGGGGCACCGTATTCAAGGATTGGTCTAATGAGCGAGGTGAATAGACGAGGGACGGTTTCTTCGGACCATGTGGAGAAACTGCGTCTTAATGCCCAGAGCATACGAAGTCCCGCACGGTACAATTTCTCTGTATTTTCTAGTGATCTTAAATCATGTCGTGAGAGAACTCCTAAGTCTCTGACAGATGTGTTGGGATGGAGCAACTGGCCGTCCAAGGTGTATGATCGAGTGGCTGGACGTCTGGTGATACTGATGAACTCCGACTTGCTTGCGTTAAGAGGGAGTTGCATTTCAGTGGACCACGTTGACAGTCGCTCTAAGTCATGCTGGAGGCGAGCGCAGTCGTCCTGGTTTTCAATGATCCTCCAGATTTTCAAATCATCTGCAAACAGGACACATGGTGACTGGAGCTGCTGCGGAAGATCGTTGATATGAATAAGAAATAATGCTGGCCCAAGTACAGTTCCTTGAGGCACGCCACTGGTCGATGGGAACCATTCTGTCAGATAGTCATTGACCTGTACTCTAAACCTTCGTCCCACAATAAACTCTTGTATCCACAGAAGTAACGTGCCACCGATTCCGTATGTCCTCAGTTTACGAAGGAGTACCTCGTGGTTCACTCTATCAAACGCCTTACTAAAGTCGATGTACACCACGTCAACATCCTTCTGTTCATTGAGAGCTCGAACCCACTGGTGGTTAGCGTACATCAAGTTGGTGATGCAGGATCGCCCTTTCGTAAAGCCGTGTTGCGCTGGCGTCAATATGTCCATCGATTCGAAGAACGACAGCAGACATTTTTTCACAACCTTCTCGAGAACTTTGGATAATACCGAAGTCAAACAGATAGGTCTATAGTTCTCTGTTTTACTCGGATCACCACCCTTGGGAAGCGGTTTAACTATCGAGCATTTCCAGTCGTTGGGGACAGATCCTTCAGAGAGCGATCTATTGAAAAGGTTTGTCACAACTGGTGAGATGATAATCGATAGGGACTTGAGTATTAGTGGGTGAAGTCCGTCTGGCCCGGGGGGCTTTGCACCATTGAGGTTGACGAGTAGCTGATGTACTTCGACTGCATCACATTGTAGGCTGTCGAGCAAGACTGGCGCAACCTGTGCTGGTACTGGAACAGCCGCCGGTTTACTGGAAAATACAGTGAGGAAGTGCGTAGCCAGGGCGTCCGCGCGCTCCGCGCTTGAAATGAGTGTCTTCCCGTCTAAGCTCTCTAAGACCGGTAGGTCGTCTCCAGGTTTCAGTTGACGTTTCAAGTAGGCAAATATTCGCTTGGGTGCAGTTGCGGCCGAGGATGCTAGTTCCTCTTCGAACTGCCGGCGTTTCTTGATCTTTGCGGCGTTACATAAGTTACGCTGTTTCTTGTACACCGCGTAATCTTCATCACAACCCGAGCTGATGTATTTATCCCAAAGTTTACGACGTCGTCGCGCTAACTGTCTGTAATCCCTATCAAACCAGTGCGGTTTGACAGGTCCGATTTTTGGATACTTAAGGGGAACGAACCGAGTACAGAGCGAGTTAAGCTTCCCCTTTATTAATGACCACCACGCCTCAAGTGACGCATCATGTGGTAGTGTCCAATCAGTCTGACTTGCGGCTTGGACAAGTCCGTTGAAGTCCGTCTTCCAATA